GCCTGTGGAAAGCCCCTTGGCTAGGAGCCAGGTCAGCTGCCATGGGCTTGGTATGTCTGTGGACAATTACCTTACCTGGGCACTCAGCCTGCCTCAGTTTCTCACCTAGGCCATTGCTGCCAGGGTTCTCACCTTCCCAGCAGGGTCCTGCTGCTAGCCTTCCTCCAAAACAATCTGCCACCAGCATGGGAAATCTATGAAGTTTCCTTCTTTATCTTCAAGGTAAAGTGCAGTGTTTACGCTAGTGGGCCCTTCTTCTCTCTTGTGGTTCTGCAAGTTTAGCTTCCTGCCTGCTGTCCCAGAATGGGGAGGGCTCTGGGCTCTGGAGCCACAATAGCCCTGATCCAGTAGTCTCTGGGAAGAGGATGGGCAGTGTCAGCCCTTTCCTGGGTGCATCCAGCTGTGTGGTTGGGGGTTGGGTGGTGTCAGGCCTGGCTCCAGAGAAGGTGCAGTTACAGTTTGGATTCTAATTTAAGAAGCAGAGTTTTGGGCTGGGGTTGTGGCTCAGTGGTAGAGCACTTGCCTAGAACATGTGAGGCACTTGGTTTGATCCTTGGCACCACATAAAAATCAATAAATAAAATTAAGGTATTGTGTCCACCTATAGCTAAAAAATATATTAAAAAAAAAAAAGGAAGCAGAGTTTTGTTGTCACTGCCCCACGTACATTCACTGTCCAGCATAACATGTTTTGAGGTCTTGCAAAACCAGTCCAGCTTCCAAAACTTGGATTTAGAGAAACTTTGATTTCCTCAGAAGTCACACTGAGTGCTCCCTGATGGTTAAGGTATAGGAAGACCTGGTTTTGAATCCTGCCTTCTTGCTTTCTTGCTATGTGATCTGGGCAAGTTTTTTACTTTTCTGGGCTTTGTGTTGTTTTGTAGCACAGGAATGATAACAAAAGTTTGAGGTGAGGAATGAGCACACGCTGAATGTTAGTGCAGCATCTGGACCTTTGCGTGGCTGCTCAAGAGAAGGCTGTTTGGATACTAATGGTGGTGCCCATCTGGCTTCTGCTGTCTTCTCCAACTCCTTTCTCACCATTGCATCCTTTCCATCACTTTGGTCACTCACTCCCTCGTGTCTCAGTCATCTCCTTCAGTCTAGTATAGTTCTCGAGTCTTTCCTTGGCTCTTATAATCATGGCACTTCTACGCCAGTTCTTTTGTAAACTGTCCCCATTTGGGGTTTGTCAGATGTTTCCTTATGATTAATGTTATGCACTCTTGGTGGAGATATCACATAAGCGATTCCAGAATTTTTTTCAGTGCATCCTATCAGGTGACACCTGGTTGTAGCTTCTCCTGTTACTAATGTTATTCACTTTGATCATTTAATTGAGGTAATATCTGTCAGTCTTCTATATTATAAAGTTACTCATTTTCTCTTTGTAATTAATAACTTTTAATAGGAAGGTACTTGGAAACTGTAAATATACCCTATTCCTCATCAAACATTCCTTATTCATACCTGGGTATATTTTGGTTTCTTATTTTACTCAATGGAGTATAATCTGTTGCTATCATTATTTAAATACAGTTTGTCACAAATTTAGCCCATGGTAGTTTGGCTGGAATTAAGGAGTTTCCCAGGATTCGAGTCTTTCAGTGATAAAATTGGGAGAGTCCTAGGCAAACCCCTGTATTTTTGCCTACTACCTCTGGGCTTTTGCCCTGGCTGTTCTCTCTGGCAAGACCACTTGGCAAACCCCTTGCTCCTAGACTGAGCTTCTCTGTGAAACCTGAGCCCCCCACCCACCCCAGGAGCCAATCTCTTCTGAGCCCCCACTGAGCATTTCAGGGCACCTGGAAGCTTCCCAAGGACAAGCCTCATATTCATCTCTGACTCCTTTGGGCTAAGGACTGTGCTGAAAGGGGGCTGCTAGTTAAATGGTTGGATCTAGTCATACCCTCTCATGCAGCAGAAAAGCAAACAGTGCAGAAAGGAAGGGTGACTTGTTCAGGGTCACACTTTGCAGGCTGGAGTCTGCCCTTTGACTTTTTTTTTTTTTTTGGTACTGGGGATTGAACCCAGGGCTTTACGTGTGCTGCTAAGCAGCACTGTACCACTGAAGTGCCCCCAGCCCAGGCTTTAATTTTCTTAATTCTAAAGTGAGGTTAAGACCTCAGAGCATTGCTATGAGAAGAAAATGAGGTACTGTGCATAAAACACTTAGTATAGTATATGTCACATTATCCCTGGGGATCTTTTTATTTTTTAAAAATTTTATTATTAGCTGAGCAGGGTGGCACATCCCAGCAACTCGGAAAGCTGAGGCAGAAGAATCACAAGTTCAAGGCTACCCCAGGCAATCTTGTGAGATTTGTCTCAAAATAAAATATAAAAAGGGCTGGGGGGGTAGCTCAGTGGTAAAGTGTCTCTGAGTTCAATTCCCAGTACTGAAAAACTTTTTTTCATTATTTTAGAAGCAGTATTATAAGATCAGAAATACAGATAAGCAAAAAGAAGATAAAACCATATAGAGATTACCACTGTTAACACCTTAATAGTTGTGCTTCCTTAGTGAGATCCTTCTCCATTCCTTTTCTTCTTCTTCTTTCCTTCCTTCCTTTCTCATGGTGATCAAACCCAGGGACATTTTACCACTGAGCTATATCCCCAGACATTTTATTTGTATTTTGAGACAGGGTCTTGCTAAGTTGCTTAGAGCCTCACAAGTTGCTGAAACTGGCTTTGAACTTATGATCCTCCTGCCTCAGCCTCCTGAGTCACTGGGATTATAGGTGTGTACCACCACACCTGGCTTCTTGAACTTTTCTCTGAATCAACCAATTAATCTATCTATCTGTCTACCTATCTATCTATTTCTTTTTTTCCACAAAGAGATTATACTGTTCATTTCTTTTATCCTCCCCTCCCCCCCGCCCCCCCCCCCCAGGCCTCACGATGCTAGGCAAATGCCTTGCCACTGAATTACATCCCCAGCCTATGTACATTCCGTTTTGTAATCTGCTTTTTTTTTTTTTTCCTGGCAGAACTCTCCTCTGTACATTTTTAGTGCATCTAATACTGACCACCTTCATGTTTCTCCAGTTGTCCCCAAAATGTTCTTTATAGCTGGTGTGTCCAGATCAGTATGCAATCCAGGATCACACTTTACATGTGGCTGTTATGTCCTTTGTCCGTTAAACCCAGTCCCTTTATTATGACATTGACCTGTCCATATGAAATTGACCTGCAGAAGAAAGCAGGCCACTAGCCCTAAAGAATGTCTCAGTATTTGGCTTTGTCTGGTTATAGTCTCATGGTGTCACTTAGCTTGTACCTTTGACCTCTGTATTTTCTGTAATCTGAAGTTATTTACAGGATTTGATGAGTTTCTTGGTACCTAGAATACCCCACAAGTGTGGTGTGGCCTTCCTGTCACCATTAGTGGCACCAAGGCCTACCTCTTAGGGTTGCATGCATCCCCTTGTGAGTAGAAGTAATATGTGTGTAGTCATTGTACTGTCATGTGTAACTAATTAAAACAAAACAACAACAAAAAAATGATTAGCATTTTAAATTTGCTGTAAAATAATAATAAAATTATATATGTATTAGAAAAAAAAGAGAAAGTAATATGTGAGGATTCTCCAACTCCGAATGCCAGTTCTTTTTTGGGGGGGATGGGTAATGGGGATTGAACTCTGAGGCATTCGACCACTAAGCCACATCCCCAGCCATATTTTGTATTTTATTTAGACATAGGGTCTCACTGAGTTGTTAAGCAGCTCGTCGTTAGTAAGGCTGGCTTTGGACTTGTGATCCTCCTGCCTCAGCCTCTAGAGCCACTGGGATTAGGCATGTGCCACCATGCCCAGCTGAATGCCAGCTCTGGGAGACCTTTTTTTTTTTTTTTCCTTTCTTTCTTTTTTTCTGTAGTGGGAATTAAACCCAGGATCTTATACATGTTAGGCAAATACTCTACTCTTTTTTTTTTTTTTTTAGTTGTTGATGTACTTTTATATTTATATGTGGTGCTGAGGATTGAACCCAGTGCCTCACACATGCTAGGCAAGTGCTCTGCCACTAAGCCAGGACCCCAGCCCCCAAATACTCTACTCTTAATGAGTCATATGCTCAACCCAGAATCCCTTTTTAGACTACACAAAAACACTTGTCAATTTGTTAAGGATAACTTGATCTTGAGGGCTGTGCTCTTTGGTAGGAAGAAAAAATTACAGAACAAGTACGTTGACTGAGTTTCATTTTTCTTTGCGAGTGCAAATCTCAAGAAACCTGGTTCTGATTTTACTTGCTTCCCAGACATGTGAGCTGGGTTAAATCCCTACATTGCTTCTTTACCAGCTGGGTGACCTTGGGCACATTACCTAACCTCTTTGAGCCTCAAATTCCTCCTTGGATTTCTTGTCTGGTAGAGTTGTTGGGAGAGTTAAATAAAACAAGGTATGCTTGGCTGTTTCTCCCCTAGATGGAAAGCTCTTTGCAGGCAAGACTAGTAAATAATTAATAAACTAATAATAATAAATAGTAAGACATCTAGAGGTGTTTGTGGAATGAAAATACACATGCAGGAGGACAAGTGGTATGGCTAGGTGATAAGTACTAGGGAGGGGAGGGAAGCCGTCATCCATCTAGGTGTTCGTTTTTTTACTTGTGCTCTCATTTCATTGACATATAGCCATCCCAGGCTCCACAGCGAATCAGCTGTGAGCCTCTGACCCCGAGGAGCTCACCAGGGTCTGCAAAGGCATGGACAGAGACTCAGGGTGGGGACCTGGAAGGTCTGACTGGGAAGACTTCCTGGAGGAGACTGGGCTGAAAATAGGGAGATGATCTTTGGATACAGGGGCTCTGTTTCCTGGCACAGGAGGCTTCTGGAGAAGGTTTATGGTAAGAAGTGAGTCCATGCTGGCTTCAGAGGTCCCTGATCCTTTTCTCCTTCTTCTCCTTCCTCCTTTGCCTGTCTGTCTACCCTCCACCCTGGCTAGGGCCCTGAGCCCTGTGTGATACTGACAACCCATGTCTGTCTGCAGTGCCGTATGGAGTGCCGTGATGTGCCAGCAGAGACACTCTACGATGTCCTACACGACATTGAGTACCGAAAGAAATGGGACAGCAACGTCATTGAAACTTTCGACATCGCCCGTTTGACAGTCAACGCTGATGTGGGCTATTATTCTTGTGAGCAGGCGCAGCACACCGAGCCCAACCCCTTGGCCTCCATCCAGACCTCCCCCAAGCCTCCTCCTGTCACCTTCCCTCCCTGTGGCCATTCCCATGGCCAGGCTGCTCAGACACCTGAGACTGAAGGATGCCTGTTTCTAGATACTTGGGTACACATAGGTACACTCACTAACACATATGTAGTTACATGTTCATGAAGACTACACATACAAACATGCATCCACACAGTTGTGTACACAACCCATAAAATGTGTCACATCCTTAGGCATATATTTTCATAACACACATTCATAATAATACTGTTTTTCTCTCATCACATATTCATATATACAAACTGGCCAGACCAGCAAGGTAAGGGCTGTGTGAGGTTGTGAGGAGCAGGGATAGCTAGACAGTAGGGACAAGGGATATTCTCTGTCTCTTCTCTGGTTCCAATGTGGGAGTGTCCTGGTGGGGGTGGGTAACTGTTTGGATCAGCAGGAGCTGGCAGTTAACTAGGCATCCCTCCGTTGCCAGCCTCTGCCACACCCTCACTTGCAGGCAGGAGGACCAGTGGTCTGGCTGAACTGTCCCTTGCCCTCCACAGGGAGGTGTCCCAAGCCTCTGAAGAACCGTGATGTCATCACCCTCCGCTCCTGGCTCCCCATGGGCACTGATTACATCATCATGAACTACTCAGTCAAACATCCTGTGAGTCCATCTGCCTTCCTTGCTGGGTGGGTGAGGCAAGGTGCCAGGCAAGGCTGGGCCATGGCTGATACCATGACTTCTCTGTGACTTTGGGCAGGCAGGGGGCTCTGTGGCCCTCAGTTTCCTTTCTGACAGGATAATGGCTTCTGTCTCCCTGCTTGGGCACTCAAGTACATCAGAAGAGGGTAGTTTGGGCCATTTCTGTGGAGAGGGGATGGGTTGGGGTGGCCTTGGTTTGATTGAGCACTGGGTGAAGCTGGACAGAATATAGAGAAGCAAGATGTGAGTGGCAGTGTCCTGTGGACCTCCCTGAGGTGGGGCCATTTTAATCACCCTGGGCAGGAAGAATAGGCAGGTATGGTTGGCCTGGACAAGGGTTGAGTGTCTATGTGAACTCATAAGCCTTGATCCCAGGCTGGGGGATTTCCTATGGGAATAAGGAAAGCCTTAAGAAGGGCAAGGATGATCTGATCTGATTCTTACCTTTCTCCTTGCCCCAGCATCAGGTCTGGCTTGGCACAGACACCAGAGGATGTGAACTAACTCTGTGTGTGTGTGTGTGTGTGTGTGTGTGTGTGTATCTCAAAGACATCTCTTTTGCCCCCATGCTGAGTCTCACCTCCCTGTACCTTCCATCCCCAGAAATACCCACCTCGAAAAGACTTGGTCCGAGCTGTGTCCATCCAGACGGGCTACCTCATCCAGAGCACTGGGCCCAAGAGCTGCGTCATCACCTACCTGGCCCAGGTGGACCCCAAAGGTGAGGGCTTGGCCCTGGCAGCCTGTCATGGGATCCTTCCCTATACTACACGGGATGGGCTTGATCTACTAGGGGTTCAGAGGCCATTTGTTAGGAGATGTCTTGTACTTGGGCATCTCTACCCAAAGTCAATGGAATGAAAAGAATGGGCCAAGGTGGTAGCTTCTGCTCCTCTGAGGAGACTTGGAACTTTCTTCCTGGGCCCTCACATTTCCAGCTCAGATCTGTTTCTGTTCACTATCTGTTATAGCTCTGTCTTTTGGGCTCCCATCCTCTGTCTATTCAGGAAGCCTGGGTTTTCTAGGACTGCCTTTTCTTGGGAGGGCTCAGCCACTCCTGGGGCTGCTTTTGAAGTTGACCACACATCTCTTTCTGCTGAGATACAGGTCCCCGTGGCCACTGATTTCCTGCACATTCTCCCTCAGGAGGTCTTCTTGGTACCTGAGACTCAGCATCCAAAGCTAAGCTCACCATCACCCCTCTCCACCTCTCCTTCTCCTAAGTCTCTGCCTTCCAGTCACCCCACCTGGTCAGCTGGAGCCTCAGCTCCCAAATCCAGTTCCTGATTCTTAATGATTCTGCCTCAGACATAGCTCCTGAATCTGCCATTTTTCTGCATATTCAGCTGCCCTATCTGTCCGTACCAGTTACTGGAGGAAGTTTTCTAAAATGACTGCATCCGTTTAAAATGCCTCTCTGACTCTCTGATGTCTCAGGATATAGTCTGAACCCCCTCCCCAGGTTTCTTAGTCCCTCCATGCCCCTACACTTTTCCACTCCCCTGACTTTTCCTTCAGATATACCTCTCTTCCCTTACTTAGCCCTCCAAGCCTGCTTCAGGTGTCACCTCTTCTGTCACTAATGCTCAGGGGAGTACCTGCTCCCTACTCTGGCCCACTTCCCTTTAGAATACCTGGCACATGGTTGAGCCCCCAGACAGTGAGTTCCTCTTTGGATCTCCAAGGCTGGTTGAGGGTAGGTATCACAGTGAATGTGGAGTGAGTGGGTGACTGAATGAGTGACTAAAGGATGGTTAAATCTTGAACATCCTTGCTAGGTTCAAGTCCCCAGAGTCATAGTGGTCCTAGTGCAGGGTTCCCAGGTCTCACTAAGTGTATTGGCTGTCAGAGGCAGAGCAGATTCTTGGCAATGAGGTAGTTGGAGAGCTGGGCTGTAAATTCCAGGTCAAGCCAGGCTGGGGTGTTCAATAAGATGCCTGCATAGTTAGAACAGGGGATGGAAGGACAGCCAGAGGAGGGGCTGAGCATCAAGGCCCAGTTATGGTAGTGGGGTTAAGAATGAGAAGGGACATCAGTGTAAAAGGAGGAAGGAGGCAGGCTGGAGCTTGGTGGGTCAGAAATTCAACCCACAAGTAGCCTGGGGTTACCTAGGACCCTGTCGTTTTCTTCCATGCATTCTTGGAGCTCAGCAAAGGGACAGTGGGGGCAGAGTTGACCCCAGGACCTTGAGGAGTGAGGTGGGAAGGAGTCAGGAAGACGTCTTGTAGGATTGCCTCACTCATCCCTTCCTGTGGAGTAAAGGGAGGCCTTCCAGGAATGCTAAGCTGAGGGAAGGGGCTGGGAATTGATGGGGGCTGGGTGTCTGAGGCTGCTTCCTCCCTTCTCACCACATTTCCCTGCCCTCTTAGGCTCCTTACCCAAGTGGGTAGTGAATAAATCTTCTCAGTTCCTGGCTCCCAAGGTGAGTGGCCTTGGGACTTCAAGGTTCTGGAGGCTGGGGGAGAGGACATTGGGGATGTTAGGGTGAGGGGGTGGAAACAGGGATGGACACTGGGGCAGGGGATAAGGGACCAAGTTATAAAACCCACAAGAGTTGGGAAACTGGTGGTGCTGGGAGGGGTTTGGGAAATTCCTAGTCCTGCTGGCACCCCTGACACTCGGGTATCGGGTCTGCAGGCCATGAAGAAGATGTACAAGGCATGTGTCAAGTACCCTGAGTGGAAGCAGAAGCATCAGCCACACTTCAAGCCATGGCTGCACCCAGAGCAGAGCCCATTGCCCAGCCTGGCACTGTCGGAGCTGTCAGTGCAGCACGCAGACTCACTGGAGAACATCGACGAGAGCACAGTGGCAGAGAGCAGGGAGGAGCGAGTGGGTGGTGCAGGTGGCGAGGGCAGTGATGATGACACCTCGCTCACCTGAGTGCAGCACTGCTGCATGGACTGAGACCGGACTGGGGCTGAGCCCTGGGGCATGGATCCTCCCGCACTTCCTCCTGTCTCTCACCCTGCCTCCTGGGGGCCTTGGGCTGCGCCCAGGCGGCATTGCAGCCTGGCTGGACACAGCCCCAATAAACGATCCCACAGCCTCAGCTGGCTCTTCGCTGTGCCTGCTTCCCACCTGCTCCAGCACTGCCACTGCCCTGGTTCCCTGGTTCTTCAGTTAATTTTGTTAATGATATTATTGCTTGCCTGGCCTTTGATCCTTTGGGCATCTTATTTGCCCATATGTAGCTGGGGCAGTTATTGCCCCCTTGTTCTGTCCATTTTCACTCATACATCCACCTGTCCTTGTTGCATGTTCACTTTGCCATTTGTTCCAGGCTATCTGATTGCCCTCAACTGATCTAAGGGAGGGAGCAGGCCTGACTATAGGCCTCTCATCATGGGTTGGAGAGTGGGGTTCTACAATGTGACCTCTGTTTCAAGGCCCCTTAGGTTCAACCTATGGAATGGATATCTGATGATCTCCTGTCATCACAGAAGGGCAGGGGATGGATCTGTAGGTCTCAGGCCACAGAGCTATGGGTCTCAGAGCTGAGGCTGAGGCAGTATATTATAGAGGAGGGAGTTCATGAGTGCAGGTGAGGGTCATTGACTCTACTGCAGTGGAAGGGACAGGCTCTTTTGTTGCACCCTTCTTAGTTTTTTCTGAAGGTTTCTGGACTCTGTTAACAGAAATGGTGGGGCCTCAGGCCTCCATCCCCTTTCTAGTGGCCAGATGCCAGCCTCCTTGCCCTGTGCTTCACCTGACTACTCTTAGATCTAGAGGTAGGCCTAGGCTTTATCTGTTCTTTGTGGCCTCTCTGTTGCCCGAGTGAGGGCCCTGTGTTCTGCTCCTCTCCAGTAATTTAGGTCCTATGCAAACTTGGGGCTTAAAATTTCTCCCCAAGGTCTGGCTTTTTTTTTTTTTTTTTTCCTTCTGGAAAGTTGCTTGCCTTAGTGCTGCCAGTGGAAGACATAATCTACTCAGAGTCAGGTCCTTCTGAGGGGAAAGGCAGATGGCTAATGAGGGTGGGCAGGAAATTCTGTCACTTACCTTGAAGGGTTCCAATCCCAGCTTTGCTCAATACTGGTTCTGTAACTTGGGGAAAGCATGGGAACTTCTTGGAGCTTCATTTCCTAATTCATAAACTGTGGTGACAATCTTTGCCTTCAAGCAAGTATGAGAATCGAGATAAAAGGAGTAAATTGCCCAGCACTATGCCTGGCATATAGTAGGTATTCAAATTAAGGGCATTTCTCTCTTATGGTAAACCCCTACACCCATCCTAGTGACAGCTGTTCTTCCAAATATCCCCACTGTGTATATGGAAAATACACAATGAAACCCAGAGAAAGTTAATGTCTCTGACTTAGCTGGACCTAGAAGTGCTTGCCAAGCCCTGGGTCCTCCTCTTTTATGTACTGGAAGGAGAGGAAGAATTTCCATTTTAAGTTCATTGAAGGAGCCTTAGGTGCTGGTACCTCAGGCTGCAGGATACAGCTCAGTGATCCTGTGACAGGACTCTTTCTTTCCCACTACCCAGGGGGATGTGGGTCCAGGGAGAGAGGAGGGATACTCTTAAAGAATGTGGGAAGAACTCCCGGAGGAGGCGTTCAGGGACCACAGTCCTCCATCCTCCACCGCCCCGCCCCCCTCCAAATCTCCTTCTCGTGTGGTGTGTTTGTATGTCCGTGTCCCTTCCCAGGGCGCTGACTCACGGGAACAGGGGTGGAGAGGGAGGGAGACTCCGGGAGAGACGGAGACTCGGCTGCCTGTGTGCAGGTGGCGGGGGGGGGGGGGGGGGGCGGCAGACTTGGCCTTAGGAGACCCGAGGACTTGCCAGCAGCAAGAAGGGAGGAGAGAGAATCAGACCCACAGGTCTGGCAGGCGGACCAACCCCGAGGACTCAAGGATCGCTACCAGGCTGGGGGCGGGGCGGGGCCGGGTCCCTGCCCCTTCTCCGCTCCCCCCTCCCCGGGGCGTCACGTGGGGCTGGCGGAAGCGCCCCGCGGGGTGGGCGCGACCGGCCGGCTGCCGCGAGTTGGCGGTGGCAGCTGGAGTCAGTAGCGGCCCCGGGACTTCAGGTCCCCGCGTGGACACTTCACAGGTCAGTGCTTCTGGCTTCCTTGGCCCCCGGTCCGCAGTCCCCTCTCCTGGTGTGTCTGCAGTTTCCCATACCTCGGAAGGGAACGCCGAGCCGCGCGGCTACCCAGCGCTGGGCTCCCACTTCCCTGGGTTATCTCCTCTGCTTTGCTTTTGGCCGGGAGTGGGATGGGGTGGGGGTCGCTGCTAAGGATGAACTGTTGGGTCAGAGCGGGCAGACACCGAGCTTCCAGCCCTCAGCCCCTCAGCATGAAGGCTCCCAGGCTCCGGAGCCAGCTAGTTCTCGGGAGTCTTGAAATTCTTAATTGTAAAATGAAAGCTCCCACCCCGTTGGCTGCTGCTGAGACCCTTAACCTTTCTGCAGAACCGTTTGACCCAGGGCCTTAGACCCGGGGCAGGCTACTTCCGGTGTCTGCACCTTAATTCTCGGCCGGTAAATGGGGGCATGGCCTCCCAAGAGCTTACCTGGCCCAATTGCTGGAAAAAGGAGGGCTGTGTTCACTGAATGGGGTCAAGCCGGAAGTAGGTGGTTGGGCCTGTAGAGCACAGGCTTGGAGTACCACCTGGGGACACAGGGTGGTAATTGGTCCCAGGTCTCCAGGAGTAGTTTTTGGTGCTGGGGAACTCTAATCAGGAGCCATCAGAGATGGCTTCTACTACATGCACTCACCCAAATCTCATGTCCTAGGGAGCCTTCTCTCGGGGAGCCACACTGGTGGGGAGGGAGGGCTTCAGGGGCAGACATGGGAGGGATGTTTAGGAAAGTATTTGAATGCCTACAGTCTCAGGGTCCCAGACTGAGGCACTCATGATACCTGTCCTTCAAGAGCCAAGAGCACTCAAGCTGGGGGAGACCTCCCAGCAAGATCATTATAGAGTAGAAGGAATCCAGTGGAGCCATGAAGACAGGTATGGACAGGTACAGGCCCAGGGAGGAGGAGATGACTGGAATGGGCCTTGGCAGGTCAGTGGCAATTAGTGAGGTCAACGGGCCTTCAGGTGATGGCATAGCTGTGCAGAGGCAGGAACCTGGATGGTGTGTTTGAAAAATGGCATGGAGATGGGTGTGGTTGCAAGGGGTGACAGGGGAGAGGTGTACAGAGAACTCATCCTTATATTCCAAGGGTCACTGGGGATTGTCTAGACCCTAGCCTAGGGACCCTGCCTCCCCATTGGCCATTTGCTCACTGGAGTAGTATAGGAGGGAGGTGTCCCAGGCAGAGTACTGACAACTATAGTGTGTGTGGTAGAGGAGGGCAGAGGTCCAATGTCCCTCATTGCCCCCAGGCTTTATTTGGGCATTCAGTCTCCTCCCTCAGTCCCAGCCTTACCTTTCACCATCTGGGCTCTAGTTATTTTTCTCCACACATCAAGAATCATCCTTTTGTGCAGATTGCATGTCCTCCCCACACCCTCCAGAAGTTTTCTCTCTATCCATATCCCACGTTATTTGGGACTTTAGTTTTCAGAAATGGGCTGCTCACTCTTTCCAGCCCAGTCTTTCAGTCCTCTCTAATAGCACAAGTTAGGAAGGGTCTTCCTGGAGCTCTGTGGAATAAGGTACTGCAGCGCCATGGGACTAACTGGGACTTGGGACCTGAAGTCCCAGGGCACCACCAAGCACTGTCTGGCAAGACCCCATACTTCTCAGATCCTTCATTTCCCCATCTGCAGGATGGGGTGGTAATCCCTGGCTTCATGTCCCAAAGAGAGACTGTGCTGGGGCAAAAATATAGTCTATCTGAAAATAAATCCTGCCCCCAGCATTGAGCATTTGAGTGAAGGAAAGAAGGAACCCAGGAAAAGTGGTCAGTTCAGGAGGGCTGCAGAGTACTGGGGCCAGTGGTGGACCAGGCCTAGGGCACTGGCTAGAGGGAGGGGAGTCCCCATCACCCTCCTGGGCCTCTCCCCTTCCCACTCCACTCTCCCTTGGCTAAGCTCAAAGCAGCCGCCAATGCCCAAACAAGTGGCCTGTGTTCCCAGGGGAGGGGGAGGGGAGGCAGGCCCTGGGCTCCAGGCCCGTCTGTCCAGCATCCAGTACTGACCCTGGCCCCCGCCCCTCTCTCTGGGTCTTAACCCTTGGGGGCCTGGACTGGGTTCTGAGCTGCTTGAAGGCTGGTGCTTCTTGCCCACCCTGTTTTAGGTTTTCAAGGGTTCTTTCTACCTTGTTTTAGGTTTTCAAGGGTTCTGTGAACCATGGGGGAATGCAGTAGGGTATCAGTTGGAAATGGGAAAGAAAGGAGGGATGAGGGATTGGGGAGAGGCCCCCTATGGCAAATACAGCCATGAACACTTAGACACCACTTGGCTCAGAAGCTTCTTTTGCAGATGATGACACAGAATTAAGGGCCCCGAGATCAGACCAGGATCACACAGGAAGCCTGGGCAGGGGGCAGGAAGTATCAGGACAAGTAGACTCCTAGTCTGGGGAAAGGGAAGAAGAGAGGGAAACTTTCTCTGAGAATCTACCAGGTACGGAGGCTATCACTGCTTAAGAGGAGAATCAAAGAGGAAGACACTGAGCCTGAAAGAGTTTAGTACTTACATTAGTGAGTACTATGTCGGCAAACATGCATATAGTGTTGTAGGCATCTTCATGTCTGTGTGTATATAGATATGCATATACATACACAAATGTGCATTTACACAGTTCTGAGACTAAACCCAGGGGTGTTCTACCACTGAGCTACATCCTCAGCCCTTTTACATTTTATTTGAGACAGGGTCTCACTGAGTTATCCAGGCTGGCCTCAAACTTGAGATCCTCCTGCATCAGCCTCCCAACTTACTAGGATTACAGGTGTGCACCACCATACCCAACTACTTTTATGTATATTAACCAATTTTATCCTGCCCACAACCAGAGAGATTAGGTGCTGTTTTACAGATCAGGAAACTGAGGCAGAGTGAGGCAGAGTAACTGGCCTTAGTAACAGTGGATTAGGGTAGTGACAAGATCAAGACTCAGGCAATTCCTTGCCTCCTTTAGCCTGATTTCCCCTC